TTCGGGCTCCCAACCCTGCTGGGGGTTTTTTTGTGGGGCCAATTTGGGGCCTCCCATGCTGCTCCCAAAGGCCCAATCTGCTCAGGCCCCTGTACCGCCTCCCTTCTGCTGCTCCCATGCCACACTTCTGGCCATGTGGCCCACTTTCAGGTCTCCCCACACTGCGGGTGTGTTCATTTTGAACAAAAGGGTGCTGGCAGATTTACGGGCCTTCCATTGCTGCTGCCCAGGCACGTAATCTGTCATGGGCCCCTGTACCGCTCTCATGCTCCGCTGCCAGGTCCAGAGTGTGTCATCGGGTCCCTGTACCCGGCCCTCCCATTGCTCGCCTGTCTCCATCGGCCACACTCCTGCCATGTGCCACTTTCAGGTTCCCTCCACTTCACACTGCTTGGTGTAGGGTTCCATTTTTTTTTGTCATAGGGTGCTGGCAGATTACGGGCCTCCCATTGCTGCTTGCCAGGCCCGTAATCTCGCCATGGGCCCCTGTACCGCCTCCTCATGCTGCTGCCAGGTCCAGCGTGTCATATAATGGGTCCCTGTACGGCCTCCATTGCTGCTGTCTCCATGCCCCACACTCTGCCATGTGCCACTTTTCAGGTCTCCTCCACACTGCTGGTGTGTTCCAATTTTTTGACATAGGGGGTGGCTGGCCCCATGATTACGGCCTCCCATAAGCTGCTGCCAGGCCCCTAATCTGCCATGGGCCCCTACCTGTTAGACCGCCTTTACGAACAGCAAAAGGCCATCACAGATTTCCTGATGTTAAAAGCGGATAAAGGTACTCCCTGTGTAACTTAGATGTCAGCCATTGGCAGCTCATGCGTGACACCTGCGCTTGCTCAGGCCCTTTGAGGAGGCCACGCTATTCGTGAGTCGGCAGGACTATGGGATGAACGACGTCATTCCTCTGTTGCACGTCCTGGAACAAATGCTGTTAAACAATGGCTGGTCAGGGTGCGGTAGACGTGGCGCACAGATCTCAACGCCACATGACCCCTGTGGGGGCAGGACAGGAAGAAGAGGAGGAGGGTAGAGGAGGACATTGGTGCTCAGGAAATATTGAGTGAAATGGGTGGTTTTTCCACTCAGCGGACAGGAGTGGAGGAGCAGGAGCATCTGGTAGAGGAGGAGGAAGAGGAAACAGAGGACCCAGACGCACCGTGGCAGTATGCTGTGGAGATGGAGGCAGGGAGTCCCTCGCATTCCTTGGCACAAATGGCCCATAGCATGCTCGCTTGCTTGCGTAGCGACAGCCGAATAATAACCATCAGACAGAGGGATGACTTTTGGCTGTCCACCTTGTTGGACCCTCGCTACCGTTCAAAAATGGTGGCCTTTTTCACACCTGCTGAGAGGGAGGCCAAAATAACGTACTATAAAAACCACCTATGTAGTCAGCTGGTCTCTGCCTGTCTGCGCCAACGTCCATCCTCAGACACTGTGGGCCCTGTGCGCTCGCGTTCCGCTGCCATGGCAGCAGGGGAGGGGTGGGGTGGTAGGAGCAGTGGCAGCTCCACCAGCAGCGGCTGCCTCAGTCTGCAGTCGATGATGAGTAGCTTTCTTCACCAGCGCAGTGAGGAAACTACTAACCAGCCGCAGCAGCAGCAGCAGCATCAGGTGGACCTGGAGCAGGACCTCAAACAACAGGCTTAGGCCTACTTGGACAGCACCCTGCCAACCGAGGTAGACAATCCCCTTGACTACTGGGCAACGAAACTTGACCTTTGGCCCCAACTAGCTGAATTTGCCCTTGAAAGGCTGTCATGCCCGGCCAGTAGCGTGGCATCGGAGCGCGTGTTTTAGTGCGGCAGGAGGTATTGCAACTCCGCGGAGGACACGACTGTCCACCCAAAGTGTGGAGAGACTCACGTTTGTGAAAATGAATCAGGCGTGGATTAGTCTGGATTTCAAACCACCAGTTCCTGACACAACTGACTAAATCCGCCATGAATCATGCCCCAAACATGTGCCATTTTCAGGTCTCCTCACACTGCTGGTGTGTTCCATTTTTTGTCATAGGGTGCTGGCAGATTACGGGCCTCCCATAGCTGCTGCCAGGCCCCTAATCTGCCATGGGCCCCTATACCGCCTCCTCATGCTGCTGCCAGGTCCAGAGTCTGTCATGGGTCTCTGTACGGCCTCCCATTGCTGCTGTCTCCATCGCCACACTCTGCCATGTGCCACTTTCAGGTCTCCTCACACTGCTGGTGTGTTCCATTTTTTGTCATAGGGTGCTGGCAGATTACGGGCCTCCCATAGCTGCTGCCAGGCCCCTAATCTGCCATGGGCCCCTATATACCGCCTCCTCATGCTGCTGCCAGGTCCAGAGTCTGTCATGGGTCTCTGTACGGCTCCCATTGCTGCTGTCTCCATCGCCACACTCTGCCATGTGCCACTTTCAGGTCTCCTCACACTGCTGGTGTGTTCCATTTTTTTGTCATAGGGTGCTGGCAGATTACGGGCCTCCCATAGCTGCTGCCAGGCCCCTAATCTGCCATGGGCCCCTATATACCGCCTCCTCATGCTGCTGCCAGGTCCAGAGTCTCTCATGGGTCCCTGTACGGCCTCCCATTGCTGCTGTCTCCATCGCCACACTCTGCCATGTGCCACTTTCAGGTCTCCTCACACTGCTGGTGTGTTCAATTTTTTGTCATAGGGTGCTGGCAGATTACGGGCCTCCTATAGCTGCTGCCAGGCCCCTAATCTGCCATGGGCCCCCTATACCGCCTCCTCATGCTGCTGCCAGGTCCAGAGTCTCTCATGGGTCCCTGTACGGCCTCCCATTGCTGCTGTCTCCATCGCCACACTCTGCCATGTGCCACTTTCAGGTCTCCTCACACACTGCTGGTGTGTTGAATTTTTTGACATAGGGTGCTGGCAGATTACGGGCCTCCCATAGCTGCTGCCAGGCCCCTAATCTGCCATGGGCCCCTATATACCGCCTCCTCATGCTGCTGCCAGGTCCAGAGTCTCTCATGGGTCCCTGTACGGCCTCCCATTGCTGCTGTCTCCATCGCCACACTCTGCCATGTGCCACTTTCAGGTCTCCTCACACTCTGCTGGTTTCCATTTTGTCATAGGTTGCTGGCAGATTACAGGCCTCCCATAGGTGCTGCCAGGCCCCAAATCTGCCATGGGCCCCCGTACCGCCTCGTCACGCTGCTGCTGGGTCCACAGTGTGACATGGGTCCCTGTACCGCCTCCCATTGCTCCCACTCTGCCATGTGCCACTTTGAGGTCTCCTCACACTCCTGCTGGTTTCCATTTTGTCATAGGTTGCTGTATGGCCTCCCATTGCTGCTGCCTCCACCGCCACACTGTGGCTCCAAACACTGGTTTGGCCCCGTGACTGGCCAAATGAGTGAAGTGTGCGGTGATTCTAAGATCGACGGCACTCATCTGCATGTCATACTGACTGACAGTATTATTTCTCTTCCCCAGCAGACTCCAAGGGCATTTAAATTAAAGGTTCAGTGTTCTGCACTAATATTAAGTCTCTCTGAAGCCTAGAAACACCCTTTTTTAAGTTAAATTCACAGCGAATATATTCGACTCGAATCGAATATTTTCCACGAATTCGCCGAATCAGTCGAATCGAATTTTTGAATACTTCGCTCATCTCTACCGACGTCAATCGCCCTCTATCAGCCAATCAAGGCTCCAACACCTCTGCTGAGGGGAGTTGTCGCTCGTTGGCATCTTCCGCTCGTTCAGATGCTCCTTCTCCTGCTACTCCTCTTCACGGATTCCGAAAGCAGTCTTTCTTGGAATCCATTTCCAAGAGACAACAGTTTGCGAGCACGCACCCGACAGTGCTGAGCTGAACGTCCTCCTGTCCAAGTTGCTGGTGCTGCAGTCCCTCCCTTTCCAAGTGGTGGACTCAGCACCTTTCCGAGAAATGATGGCTTGTGCCGAGCCGCGGTGGAGAGTGCCAAGCCGGCATTTCTTCGCCAAAAAGACAGTGCCAGCCCTGCATTCACATGTAGAAGAGATGGTGGGCCAGTCTTTGAGCATGTTGGTCTCTGCCATAGTGCACGGCAGCGCCGACGTGTGGAGCTGTAACTACGGTCAGGGACAGTACATGTCATTTACGGCCCACTGGGTGAACGTTGTGCCGCCACAGCCGCACCAGCAACTTGGACAGGTCACGCCGCTTTTGCCTCCACATTTGCACGTCCTTGGTCCAGCAAAGATGTCCGCCTCTACCACCTCTTCTTCCGCCGTGTCCTCAGCCGCCACCCCCCGTGCCAAGTCCCCCATTACCCGACCGGCATATCACATGTGCAGGGCGCAACGGTGTCACGCTGTGCTGCATCTGGTATGCCTTGGCGAACGTAGTCACACAGGGGAGGAACTTCTGAGTGTAATGAACAGAGAAATCGACAGATGGCTGTCTCTGCGCAAACTGAAAATCGGAACCATGTTGACCGACAACGGAAAGAACATGGTGTCTGCTCTGCGTCAAGGAAGGTTGTGCCATGCGCCATGCATGGCTCACGTGTTCAATCTGGTTGTCAAGCGGTTCCTAAAATCCACCATCCCACTGCAAGACATCCTTAAAATGTCACGTAAACTTTGCATGCATTTCAGCCATTCCTACACCGCAAAGCACACCCTCCTTGAGCTGCAGCGGCAGAACGGAATTCCGCAGTATCGCCTGATCTGCGACGTTGCAACAAGGTGGAATTCAACCCTACATATGTTAGACCGCCTTTACGAACAGCGAAAGGCCATCACCGATTTCCTGATGTTACAAGCGGATAAAGGTACTCCCCCTGTGTAACTTAGATGTCAGCCATTGGCAGCTCATGCGTGACACCTGCCGCTTGCTCAGGCCCTTTGAGGAGGCCACGCTATTCGTGAGTCGGCAGGACTATGGGATGAACGACGTCATTCCTCTGTTGCACGTCCTGGAACAAATGCTGTTAACAATGGCTGGTCAGGGTGCGGTAGACGTGGCGCACAGATCTCAACGCCACATGACCCCTGTGGGGGCAGGACAGGAAGAAGAGGAGGAGGTAGAGGAGGACATTGGTGCTCAGGAATTATTGAGTGAAATGGGTGGTTTTTCCACTCAGCGGACAGGAGTGGAGGAGCAGGAGCATCTGGTAGAGGAGGAGGAGAGGAGACAGAGGACCCAGACGCACCGTGGCAGTATGCTGTGGAGATGGAGGCAGGGAGTCCCTCGCATTCCTTGGCACAAATGGCCCATAGCATGCTCGCTTGCTTGCGTAGCGACAGCCGAATAATAACCATCAGACAGAGGGATGACTTTTGGCTGTCCACCTTGTTGGACCCTCGCTACCGTTCAAAAATGGTGGCCTTTTTCACACCTGCTGAGAGGGAGGCCAAAATAAAGTACTATAAAAAACCACCTATGTAGTCATGCAGTATATAGCCCTATCGGCCACTTTCTGGCATCCAGTTGCTGTAGCCCCCATCACCACACTGTGCCACGGGCCCCTGTACCGCCTTCTCATACTGCTGCCAGATCCATCCTCTGCCATGTGCGTCTTTGTCGTCTGCTCACGCTGCTGGGTTCCAGTTTTAAACCTAGGCCTGTGTATGGCTTCCGAATACTGCTGCCTCCACCGCCACCCTGCGCCATGTGCCTCTGTCGTCTGCTCACGCTGCTGACGGCTTCCGCTTTTTAACCTAGGCCTGTGTATGGCTTCCGAATACTGCTGCCTCCACCGCCACCCTGCGCCATGTGCCTCTGTCGTCTGCTCACGCTGCTGACGGCTTCCGCTTTTTAACCGAGGCCTGTGTTTGGCTTCCGAATACTGCTGCATCCACCGCCACCCTGCGCCATGTGCCTCTGTCGTCTGCTCACGCTGCTGACGGCTTCCGCTTTTTAACCTAGGCCTGTGTATGGCTTTCCGAATACTGCTGCCTCCACCGCCACCACCCTGCGCCATGTGCCTCTGTCGTCTACTCACGCTGCTGACGGCTTCCGCTTTTTAAACTAGTCCTGTGTATGTCTTCCGAATACTGCTGCCTCCACCGCCACCCTGCGCCATGTGCCACTTTCAGGTCTCCTTACACTGTTGGTGGGTTCCATTTTGTGATAGGGTGCTGTATGGCCTTCCATTGCTGCTGCCTCCACCGCCCCTGCGCCATGTGCCTCTGTCGTCTGCTCACGCTGCTGACGGCTTCCGCTTTTTAACCGAGGCCTGTGTTTGGCTTCCGAATACTGCTGCATCCACCGCCACCCTGCGCCATGTGTCTCTGTCGTCTGCTCACGCTGCTGACGGCTTCCGCTTTTTAACCTAGGCCTGTGTATGGCTTCCGAATACTGCTGCCTCCACCGCCACCCTGCGCCATGTGCCTCTGTCGTCTGCTCACGCTGCTGACGGCTTCCGCTTTTTAAACTAGTCCTGTGTATGTCTTCCGAATACTGCTGCCTCCACCGCCACCTGCGCCATGTGCCACTTTCAGGTCTCCTTACACTGTTGGTGGGTTCCATTTTGTGATAGGGTGCTGTATGGCCTTCCATTGCTGCTGCCTCCACCGCCACCCTGCGCCATGTGCCTCTGTCGTCTGCTCACGCTGCTGACGGCTTCCGCTTTTTAACCGAGGCCTGTGTTTGGCTTCCGAATACTGCTGCCTCCACCGCCACCCTGCGCCATGTGCCTCTGTCGTCTGCTCACGCTGCTGACGGCTTCCGCTTTTTAAACTAGTCCTGTGTATGTCTTCCGAATACTGCTGCCTCCACCCGCCACCCTCTGCGCCATGTGCCACTTTCAGGTCTCCTTACACTGTTGGTGGGTTCCATTTTGTGATAGGGTGCTGTATGGCCTTCCATTGCTGCTGCCTCCACCGCCACCCTGCGCCATGTGCCTCTGTCGTCTGCTCACGCTGCTGACGGCTTCCGTTTTTTAACCGAGGCCTGTGTTTGGCTTCCGAATACTGCTGCATCCACCGCCACCCTGCTCCATGTGTCTCTGTCGTCTGCTCACGCTGCTGACGGCTTCCGCTTTTTAACCTAGGCCTGTGTATGGCTTCCGAATACTGCTGCCTCCACCGCCACCCTGCGCCATGTGCCTCTGTCGTCTGCTCACGCTGCTGACGGCTTCCGCTTTTTTAAACTAGTCCTGTGTATGTCTTCCGAATACTGCTGCCTCCCACCGCCACCCTGCGCCATGTGCCACTTTCAGGTCTCCTTACACTGTTGGTGGGTTCCATTTTGTGATAGGGTGCTGTATGGCCTTTCCATTGCTGCTGCCTCCCACGCCACCCTGCGCCATGTGCCTCTGTCGTCTGCTCACGCTGCTGACGGCTTCCGCTTTTTAAACCGAGGCCTGTGTTTGGCTTCCGAATACTGCTGCATCCACCGCCACCCTGCGCCATGTGTCTCTGTCGTCTGCTCATGGGCCCCTATATACCGCCTCCTCATGCTGCTGCCAGGTCCAGAGTCTCTCATGGGTCCCTGTACGGCCTCCCATTGCTGCTGTCTCCATCGCCACACTCTGCCATGTGCCACTTTCAGGTCTCCTCACACTCCTGCTGGTTTCCATTTTGTCATAGGTTGCTGGCAGATTACAGGCCTCCCATAGGTGCTGCCAGGCCCCAAATCTGCCATGGGCCCCCGTACCGCCTCGTCACGCTGCTGCTGGGTCCACAGTGTGACATGGGTCCCTGTACGCCTCCCATTGCTCCCACTCTGCCATGTGCCACTTTGAGGTCTCCTCACACTCCTGCTGGTTTCCATTTTGTCATAGGTTGCTGTATGGCCTCCCATTGCTGCTGCCTCCACCGCCACACTGTGGCTCCAAACACTGGTTTTGGCCCCGTGACTGGCCAAATGAGTGAAGTGTGCGGTGATTCTAAGATCGACGGCACTCATCTGCATGTCATACTGACTGACAGTATTATTTCTCTTCCCCAGCAGACTCCAAGGGCATTTAAATTAAAGGTTCAGTGTTCTGCACTAATATTAAGTCTCTCTGAAGCCTAGAAACACCCTTTTTTAAGTTAAATTCACAGCGAATATATTCGACTCGAATCGAATATTTTCCACGAATTCGCCGAATCAGTCGAATCGAATTTTTGAATACTTCGCTCATCTCTACCGACGTCAATCGCCCTCTATCAGCCAATCAAGGCTCCAACACCTCTGCTGAGGGGAGTTGTCGCTCGTTGGCATCTTCCGCTCGTTCAGATGCTCCTTCTCCTGCTACTCCTCTTCACGGATTCCGAAAGCAGTCTTTCTTGGAATCCATTTCCAAGAGACAACAGTTTGCGAGCACGCACCCGACAGTGCTGAAGCTGAACGTCCTCCTGTCCAAGTTGCTGGTGCTGCAGTCCCTCCCTTTCCAAGTGGTGGACTCAGCACCTTTCCGAGAAATGATGGCTTGTGCCGAGCCGCGGTGGAGAGTGCCAAGCCGGCATTTCTTCGCCAAAAAGACAGTGCCAGCCCTGCATTCACATGTAGAAGAGATGGTGGGCCAGTCTTTGAGCATGTTGGTCTCTGCCAAAGTGCACGGCAGCGCCGACGTGTGTGTGGAGCTGTAACTACGGTCAGGGACAGTACATGTCATTTACGGCCACTGGGTGAACGTTGTGCCGGCACAGCCGCACCAGCAACTTGGACAGGTCACGCCGCTTTTGCCTCCACATTTGCACGTCCTTGGTCCAGCAAAGATGTCCGCCTCTACCACCTCTTCTTCCGCCGTGTCCTCAGCCGCCACCCCCCCGTGCCAAGTCCCATTACCCGACCGGCATATCACATGTGCAGGGCGCAACGGTGTCACGCTGTGCTGCATCTGGTATGCCTTGGCGAACGTAGTCACACAGGGGAGGAACTTCTGAGTGTAATGAACAGAGAAATCGACAGATGGCTGTCTCTCTGCGCAAACTGAAAATCGGAACCATGTTGACCGACAACGGAAAGAACATGGTGTCTGCTCTGCGTCAAGGAAGGTTGTGCCATGCGCCATGCATGGCTCACGTGTTCAATCTGGTTGTCAAGCGGTTCCTAAAATCCACCATCCCACTGCAAGACATCCTTAAAATGTCACGTAAACTTTGCATGCATTTCAGCCATTCCTACACCGCAAAGCACACCCTCCTTGAGCTGCAGCGGCAGAACGGAATTCCGCAGCATCGCCTGATCTGCGACGTTGCAACAAGGTGGAATTCAACCCTACATATGTTAGACCGCCTTTACGAACAGCGAAAGGCCATCACCGATTTCCTGATGTTACAAGCGGATAAAGGTACTCCCCTGTGTAACTTAGATGTCAGCCATTGGCAGCTCATGCGTGACACCTGCCGCTTGCTCAGGCCCTTTGAGGAGGCCACGCTATTCGTGAGTCGGCAGGACTATGGGATGAACGACGTCATTCCTCTGTTGCACGTCCTGGAACAAATGCTGTTAACAATGGCTGGTCAGGGTGTGGTAGACGTGGCGCACAGATCTCAACGCCACATGACCCCTGTGGGGGCAGGACAGGAAGAAGAGGGAGGAGGTAGAGGAGGACATTGGTGCTCAGGAATTATTGAGTGAAATGGGTGGTTTTTTTCCACTCAGCGGACAGGAGTGGAGGAGCAGGAGCATCTGGTAGAGGAGGAGGAAGAGGAGACAGAGGACCCAGACGCACCGTGGCAGTATGCTGTGGAGATGGAGGCAGGGAGTCCCTCGCATTCCTTGGCACAAATGGCCCATAGCATGCTCGCTTGCTTGCGTAGCGACAGCCGAATAATAACCATCAGACAGAGGGATGACTTTTGGCTGTCCACCTTGTTGGACCCTCGCTACCGTTCAAAAATGGTGGCCTTTTTCACACCTGCTGAGAGGGAGGCCAAAATAAAGTACTATAAAAACCACCTATGTAGTCATGCAGTATATAGCCCTATCGGCCACTTTCTGGCATCCAGTTGCTGTAGCCCCCATCACCACACTGTGCCACGGGCCCCT